CCCCATCTCCCGGCCGGGAGCCGCGGCAGGCCCAGCCCAGCCCCTGCCCGGGCCGCATGGGCTGGGCAGGGGACGGGAAGCCAGCTGGAGCTCAGTTACCGTTCACAGCCAGGAAACCAAGAGACAAAGAAATTCCCAGGCTTAGGTCTTAAGGTGGTGTTCACAGGTTGATCTCATTTTTAAATGGTTAAAACTGCTGTCAGTTCTTAGAAATGGCCAGCTGTTGGCTAGGAGAAAAACTCCCATCAGCCGCCAGCAGTTTCAACTTCCTTAGGTGTTTCTCTTTGTTTTCTTAAATGCCAATCTATCACACCAGGAAACGATTTGTAATAGTGAAGTTTTCCCTTTTCCACAGCCTTCTTACATTTGTGTTTATGGGCCATGTTAACTTATGGGGTATTATTTTAAGGATGAGCTGTTCAAAAGCAAAGGTTCTCTTTATCTATCTCTGCAATTATCTTTATCTCTGGGAACAGAGGTCTTCTTCTCTCCCTGGGGGCAAAGGGTCTTTATTACTATTTTCTTTTTCTCTGTTTAAGCTTCTTGTGGGATTACAGTCTCTTCAGTATTTATTTTGTTTCATCATGCATACCTCTGCTCACATTTGCACTTTGAACACTCTGTCCTCCCTACTTTCTCATGAATTAAAAGGGATATTTTAGTGTATTATAGTTTGTTTTTATGGCCTCACCAAAAGAACTTGTACCTTCAATACTAGGGCATCTCCTCATTCTTTTTTCATGTGAAATTTGACTCTTTTTTTACTGACCTTGATGTCTTCACGCTTTTTATGCGTCATTACTCCGTCTTTTTCCCTCTTCCGAGAGGATCAAGGTCTGCAGGTGTAACTTCTGCAGTGAAAGGGTTAATATCTGGCCCAGGCCTGCAGATGGTCGTGGGCAGTGGCCGCAGCAGTCGGTGATGGATTTCAGGCTGCACTGGGCCTCTCCCTCTGCCCGGTAGCCGCTGGTGGGGGCGGCCTGGCCCGGCCTGGAGCCGCTCCCGGGGCCTGGCAGACCCCAGCTCAGCACAGGCTTCAGTGTGTGCAAAGCAAACGTCAGGCATTTGATTCCCTGTGTGGTTCAATACCCATGTGTGTCCATGTATTTGTTTATAAAGGAGCAACAGGGGCCCCTGCCTGTTTCACTGAAGGTTTCCTCTTTAAAGAACCAGAGAATCACCGAACCAACAATGTTGGGAAAGACCTCTAAGACCATCAAGTCCAACCATTCCCCCAGCACTGCCAAGCCCAACACTAGTCCATGTCCCCAAGTGTCACATCTACATGGCTTTTAAATCCCTCCAGGGATGGTGACTCCATCACTGTCCTGGGCAGCCTGTGCCAGTGCCTGAGTGCCTTTTCAGTGAGGATGTTGATTCCAATTTCCAGTCTAACCCTTCCTAGGTACAATCAAGACCATTTCCTCAGGTCCTGTCAGTTCTTAGCAGGGAGAAGAGACAAACCCCAAAAAAGCTTCCCATACCATTACTTTCCGAATCTGGAGAGTTTGGTGGGCAGTGTTCAGAGCATCCCTGCCTTCCGTGGCCTTTCCTTACCCTCTGCAAACCCTGAAATTTTATTTTATCCATCTTCTGTACAAACTCCTCAGATAAGACTTCTGAGATGAAATGAGAGGTTAATCTTTCCTCTCAGCGTACAAAGCTGAACACATTTGCAATATTCAGTCCAGTCTTCCACATCCCTCTCTGAGTACTTATAGCAGAAATAAAGTGAGAGGATGCAAAGAAGCAAACCATTTCCTCATTCCTGCTCTTCCCAGCATCAACCCAGCTCCCTTGTCCATCCCATGCCATCCCTCCCCTATCCATCCCAGCTCGTTGCTGCTGTGCCATGGGTGTCACAAGAGGTGTTGCATGGGGACAACGGTGACATTGATTGCAACAGCCCCAGGAGGCACCTCAGCCCCTGCCCCTGCAGCAGGGAGGGAGCAGGGCCAGCCCCAGCACCCCCACACACACGGGGCACTCCTGGGTTGGCCCAGGCCACTTGTGCCAGCAGCAACTGGGGCCTGTCCCACCCACCAGCACTGCTATAAATCCAGCCTGTCTGGGGCAAAGCAGCATTCCCTGGCCCCAAAGGCATCTGGACACAGCCATTCCTGGTGGGTTTGCTGCTGCCTCAACACCCAGACCTTCTCCAGGCAGGTGAGTGTGAGATCTCTTTCCAGAATCCTGCCCACACAGGGCCCTGCATGGCCCCATTGCCTTGGTGTCCCCTCTGCAGCCCTGTGAAGACCCAGGAGAGGCAGCAGCCATGAAGATCCTGTTCCTGCTCTTCCCCCTGATCCTCCTGTTGGCCCAGGGTGCTGCAGGTGAGAGGGAAGGAGGGAAATGGGGAAAGTGTAAACCTGCACCAGGGGCAATTCAAAGTCCCTGGAAGTGACCGTGTTTGTGGGGGTGATGAGAAGGTAACAGGGGACTGAGGTGAAAGAGGTTTCTTGAAATGGACACCAATTTGGGCTGGAGAGAGCCCATGGAAACAGAATCCTGGTTTGTTCTGTGGGTTGGGGATGTGGAATGTTGCCTGCCAGCTGTGCTGAGATGGGAATGCAGCTGGGAGTCAGCACGGCTCTTCCTCGACCTCACGTTGGTCCTTTCCACTCTCTGCTCAGGAGTGCCCTCACTTTAGGGCTACAGGGACCTTCCAGGTGAGAAACATTGCAGTTAGAAATTTGACTGGGAGGAGGTTGGAAATGAGCCCTTCTCTTCTCCTGAAATGCACCAGCACCAGGAAGCATCAACCTGTCTATAGCCACTCTCTGCCCTCTCCGATTATTACTTTAATTGTTCTCTGTGCATCCTTCCCCATGGGAGCAGGCAATGAAACT